TGTCGATGAGCTCTGTCGAGAAGCTCTGTCGATAGCTCGGGATTCTTCAAGTTTCCTCGTCAAACCACTGCCTTGTGTAAAACGAATGATCGCCAAGTTGAAAATGCTACCCTTCGAATGATGTCTCCTTGCCCAAGAATTCTGAGCGCATCAAAGATTTCATGACCACCGTTTCCTGTCATTTCACTCGATTCAGCATTTCCCAACGGAATGGTCGATTTTCTGCACGCACGCGGAAGATTTGCTCGGCCATTTTTTCGGCTGGTTTGCAATGACAAAATACAGAGTAACACGATACGGCTGATCGGCAGAGTGAGTCCTAAAACCATTATCGATTCAAGGTTGGTTTGTAATGGGTGTGTTCACGCACAATTCCATTAGCATGGATGATATAGTTCTCCAACCTAAAATTGGTTTCGAGATTAATTTCCAACCGCATTATGGATCATTTCAGTGAACAAGGCTAACGCGCAAGGCGCAAACAGCTGAGATAAACCACTTGTGAGATTTCCATTCGCGAACTCCGGAAGTAGTAAAGCCTAATTCAAATTACTCATAAGTCTAATCGGCATTTACGCCCATAATGGTGACCTTATGAACAGGTTCCTGTTATCTGACGAACTTACAACTGATATCAACATCGCAGGAATCTTCATCTAAACCGTCATGCTAATCCCCGTCACGCGCCAGGAAATTATTAGTAACTCAAAACCGCCTCGAATCACGGACGCGATGCTCTCCTCTTCCTCGACATGTGACCATGTGTCTCCAACCATTTCTGAAGATGGTCCACAGCTCGATGTCGCATCGCCTCAGCTTTGTGTCGGCTACCCATAGCTACCGACCTGCACGTGGTAGCTTCTCGTTGCAACTCGTTGGTCGAAGGTCTCTTGTGCAAACGGTTTAGTATCTTTTCTGCTTTTTGCCGTCTTGGTGATGGACTTATCGTATCAACAACATGAGGAACTTCTGTTCTCGACGGGTACGATTTCTCTAAAAGCTTTTCAATTGCTTTTTGTTGTTGTTCATCTTCAGCCAGGCCGAAGTCTCTGCCCAATGTAGCTGCTCTCAACTTAGTAACTTCAAGTGCAAGCTCGAGAGTGTCGCGTATAAGGTCATCATCAGTCTTGCATATACGACTGCTGGGAGTCGCTTTCAAAGCATCTCGCTGTTTGAGTAGAGCTCTACGCAGCGGGAGAAGTTCAGCGAATTGCGATATATTTGAGTCTGCTGGGGATAGATTGACCTAAGTCAAACCATAATATTAATACCACACGTTTCTCAACGGCAATTCAAACGCTCGCTACTACATCATACATATGAGATTCACATACATTTAGCATACCTAACCATCTACCTCCCGACGTCGATTATACTAGAGACTACGAGCCAACATAAGGTAGCCCACCTGAACACCAACAGAGGGTCGACGCCGCCGCATATCCACCAACTTCTTCAGTTTAGCTGTACGTTGAGCGAAGGAGATCTTCAATTCGTCATCGTGAATCGACTTATCGACGACTTCTCGTTTTGACGTAGGAGAATCCTTAAGCTCTATCTCAGGGGGCGTCTCCTCGGCTAACTTCGAATCTTCCTCATTAGCTTGGGGAACATCATCGGGATCAACCACACGCTTCTCAGGTAGGAAGTCTTGCGCACAGCCAAGAATTTCCGCATCTTCAAAGATACTCTCCTCGCTCGAGATAACATCCGAATCTTTCTCCTCCTCCTCCTCCTCAAGCAACTCATCCACCATAGCAAAACCTTCGCTGTGCGCAAAAGATTCCGCGCCGCCTCCCATCTCGACCTCTAAACCGCCTAGAAAATCCACTGCTATTTCGATAGCAGACATACGCCGTTCCTGCGCTGCTGATCTCTCAAAAGTTGACATGATATTCGCCACCTGCACACTAGGCCATAATCGATCAAGAAGGCGCGCGCTACTTCACCTGGGGGTCTTCTAATGGTAAAAGTGAACCCAGCAGAGATTCTTCTTGTTCCAGTGGTGTGATGAACTTAACATCACGAGGGAATACCGCTGTGCAGATTTCTATAGTAGCTATAATGCCTGCCTGACAACACTATCATTGAGAGCCTGCCCAATAGAGTTAATCAACAGACGAAGGATGTAACGACATATAAGGTCACACTGAGAAGTTGACTAGATTCGACCGACCGAGAACTAGCTCCCCTTCAAGTAGAGGAATACTATTACAGTTCTATGGCCTCCTATCATTATATAACTATGGACCGTTTGCATGAGCAAAGACGGCGGCGCTTGTCGCCAGTCAGATTAAAGGTGTTTCACCACGATCAAGTGAAAACAGGAATTCATCAAAACATGGGGATATACAAATGGCAGACTAGTAACATGAATAGAAGTATGAACTCATCAAAGCAGCGACGATATTAATACCATCCCCGCCCTCTCACTTCATTCAATAGTTCTACTTCGGTAGTCCGGAATGCATCAATCGAGAGTGTAAACTGTTGGAAGCCCATGAGGGCAACCCCAAGATGATCAGTATCTGTCGGCGACCATAATAGGGTGACGGTTATGCTCAGGAATGCGCAAACGGATCGTCTTGGGATTTTACCAGTAGATAAAGTAAGCGTAATGCGTAGATGATGATGATCAACTTCCTCTCGTAGTAACAACGGAGTCCAATGCCTTAATTCGATTGGATCGGAGTTTAGGATGAACTTATGTGACGAGGAATGCATCGCGGGGATGGAGGAATCATCAGGTTTGCTCAGGTACCTGATCAAACACTACTCATCGGAATTCTGTAGAGCGTGAGACAAAACATGAGGAACTTCGCATTGGCAAACCCCAGCGTACAGCGTTGATGAATAATGAGCCTTCTCGCCGTAATACTTTGCTAGTTTACTACAGCGCGGTGATAGAAATTACTACATTTCAACGACATTAGTTACTATCATACTCCATCCATCATGGCCCTACCAGGGGGAGGGACGACATAAAGCACTTGTCGATCTCATAGATCTCCCCCCTACCCTTGCTACTCTACCAACGCCACTCAAATTCATTCGTTCTCCCGCCATTTTGATGATGAACTCAATAGCGATGAGAGAGCACCCTTAGAAGTTACCACCGACAGCAGCAGCATTTTCCTGTGTCATATCTCCCTTTCTTCACCGGTGTGATACGACGAAGATAGAATACGTAGAGGAAAGCTGCATTGCAAATCATGGCAAGATAGATAGAGCTAATCGAGACATATAACTATAGCACCGAAGTAGAGATACAAATCATGCCACTATGGAAAGATATAGATCTTGCCCCACAGGAAAGATATGAATCATGTCCACATCAAGCCTGACCCACGACGCCCACCAACCCATCACTCATCACAATAACAGACTAATCGACGTGAGAAACAGAATATACACATCAGTTTTGTGTAGCCGTCGTCGTCATCATCCGTCCTTCCGGGTTCTTATCGATTACCAATTTTCGAATGTCTTCATAGTGAAGTATATTAGTTGTCATTTTCTTCTTATCATCAGCCAATCGTACAGAGTTGTAATGTAGACCTGAACCAATCGAAATAATTTCGTGGCGCAGTGACTTTTCTCGTACCATCATGATAGCTCAGGACTACACACGGCGCGGAATCGTCGAAATTTTTCATCTCGATCATTTGCAGTTCACTGGCTTCGTAAGCATGCTACAAAAATGCAAAACATTTCTCGCTTCGCTCCGTTAAGACTAATATTACCTGTGATAACTGCAGCACTACTACATTGACTCGATAATGCTGGGCCAAGGCCTGCAGCTCGATGTTGCCTCCCCACACTTTGTCGTTTTGCATACGCTGAGTATAAACGGCCGTGGTGACACCTGGGGGGATACAAATGGTCCGACTTTGACAGTTCATTCAGGGGTGATTTCACGTAACATAAAATCACTGAGGGTCATCATAATTCGTATGGTCAAACAACCCAGGATCGATCTCGAGCCACTTTCGAAGGCGTTTCAGAAGTAGACAAGGGAGCTGTAGAAGAGCGGAAGATCACCCCGATGGAGCACGCATGAACAACAGTACAGCACGTCATCAACTACATCCGAATTATGTAATTCTTCTAACCATAATCGGCCGAAGCCAACGCCCCCCAAGACACCTTTCACAATAGCAGAATGGCTGCGAACGTGAGCAGCCAACATTAACATTGATACCGTATCGTGGTCGTTAAATATTAGGAAATACTAATAATATTGTGGAATACGCCATGATTGGGTAACATAATACAGCGGCCGATAGTGTATTAGTATATTACTACCTGGTTCCATGAACGGTTCAAAGGTACTCTCATTTCTCCGGATATACTGCACTGCCGCTTTACGAGCATTCTTGTAGTCTTTCGGGCCATCAGCATCATAACCAAGCTGATCCACGAAGGACCGGAACATACAATTACCATCTACAAGACCAAACATGTACACACATACAGCGACGGCAACGGAACAACTGACCATTGTGGACTTCACGTATCCTCAACCCAGCCTCTGCGCACTTCCTAAATGTGGAATCTGCCCATATGGCCCATCATAACTATTACTATTACTTCTCAAAGACCTGCATACTACGATACCATCCCTCAGCACCATCAAGATCTATCTCCCCCCTCGCTGCTGCCTCCTCCCTTTCCTGTTCTAACTGGGCTGCTCGACGGGCCAATGCCGCCGCCTCTCTTTTACAATCCTGATACATCCACTTATGAATGATACAGCAAATACTATTCTAAATATCCTCCATCCACTACTGCTTCCTACCTCACTTGCTCATCAATGCTCATACTAAACGTAACGCTACCTATTATCACTAGTCATTCTTGATAGGCCTATTATTCAATGACATACAACAACGTTAATTCATCGTACATAACTCCGGAAACGTGAATGACGCGATGATAAGCACTCGCCTCACTAGAGTATCCCAGCCACTGAGAACCCCCTCGTTAAGCTTACCTCCTCCTTTTTCTTAGTCTCAGCCTTCTGTCGGTCCGAGTTCAGATTTGTCGTTTTAAACTTCTTCTTAGAAGCACTTTTCTTGCCGAATATTCCTAAGGTGTGCACGCCGCATGCATGTCTATTACTATATCCCTATCGTGTTTACCCTTCAACGATGCTGTAGAGGCGACGTTGACTTGCGGGGCGACGGGGGTAATATTATTCTCCTCGGACGACGATGTTGTCATAACGGATACAACAGGCAAACCTCACGGAAGACGACTCTGGTTCGAATCCCATAGCTGACATTCTTTATAAAACACAAAATGCTAATGTTATCGAGGAAACTGATCCAACTACTTCTTTATCGACCCCCAGCCCCACTAAGGTCTACTGAAGGCCGCGACCGTTAGTGAATGGGCGTCGTAATTAAGCCTGGCCGAAGAACATCTGCACACGTTGCATGATGGAATCCTGATGATAATAATAACAAAGGTGGTGATTGTTGTTGTTGTTACCTGAGCTGGGTTATAAGGAGACTCCTTACTCGGTATCTCGAGAACGGCAGGTATAGCAGAACCACTACTGGTGTACTTTCGGACAACATGACGGATTTGTTCGGCGATGGGCTGATTGATGATGACGATGGCCACATCGGGACGCTCAACGAAGGTCTTAAAGGCTTCCTCGATGTCATTACGTCGGGTCTCTAATAATAAGAGGACCATCAGTGATGATGATTATTATTATATACTTACTGGCATCTACTACGAGGAAGTTAGTAATACCATTACCATCACGCATACCCGAACCAGCTAGACAGAAACCTGATACGGTCTCCTCATCACCGATAATGGCAACATGTAAGTCCGACTTCTTAGCGATCTTATTGGCAACCATTTTGAGGATGTTATTAAACAAAGGACACTAAAACAGCATACTAAACCATAATCGGGCGACGCAAAACTCAACAGTATCATCGAACAATTATATAATTCCATAATTCCTACACATGCTGTCATCATCATCACCAACTACTACTAACAACCATCTCACTCAATAAAGAGCCAAGACCAGCCACGACGCAGATCGACACAAAGGAGACAGCTAACCCTGGTCGAAGGAAGTCCGACGACTTTAGCCAAGGATGGTTATCATCCCCTTGCCTCCTTATCGCCGTCGCGTTGATATTGGGTGTTGAACTAATAGGAAGAGCGCATCCCACTGAGAGTGCCAAAGCAGCGGGCATTGCAAGCACAGCAACACCACCCTTCAAGTGTGGAGGCACTACCACTTCCCCGAGGGTACAAATGAATGGCATCAACACGTTGGCTGCAGCCGTGTGCGACACTAAAGTAGACACGAGTGTCACAAAAGTGACAGTAGCCAAAATGCATCCCCATAAAGGTGCCTGTTGGAATAACACTGATGCACCATTACTCGCAACCACTAACAGTTGGGAGTCTTTCACTGCCAAGGCCAAGGCTGAGCCTCCAGCTAATAGAAAACACACATCCCATGGAAGTGAGAGGAAATCTGCCTTAGTTAGCAGACCAGGAACAGCATATAGGGCTACCAACGGCACCAATGCTGATAACGATACATCACCGAATAGGAGTACTGTGAACGACGAGTAAAGCCACATAGTCACCGTTAGAAAAACAATAAAAATAACATAAAGTCGTCGCCAATCATCGCAGAAATGACTACTGCCAGAACCACCACCACCGAGGCGCGGCGGCAA